CCCTCGAACCCCCTCTGCCCCCACGCCGACCAACCAACCCCGGTGTCCGGTGTCCCCGTCCCGCGTCCTCCCCCTCCCCCTCCCCCTCCTCCCCCCTTTCCGATCCTTCGCCCATCCCCTGTTCTCGTCCTTGCCGATCTTGCGGGCCTCGGGGGAGGTTCGCCGCCCCTCCTGCTCCGTTCGTCGGGGGTCCCGATCTCGCGCTCACTGTCCTCGGGCCCTGATTCGCCCGGGCCGTGCCGGCTCTCCTCCGCGTCGCTCTCCTTCCCACCGAAGGTCTGAGGGAGAGGTGGATTCGTCGTCACGCAGGTCCGCTTCTTGTCGGTGTCGTGCGAGGAGCGCGTCTTCAGCTCGGTGTCCAGGAAGAGGAATTGCCTCTTCCTCGGGGCTCTTGGATCCTTCCACGGGTACGTGTCCGTCTCTTTGGCCGGGGTCTGTTGTTTCTTAGAAAGAGGGAAGGTTTTTTGAAAAGAACGATTCGAACGGATTCCCGTTGAGCACGGGTCGACGAGCCGAGTACGATATAATTTTGGGCATGAGGGGAGGGGGGGAGAAGAGAAACATATTATATGGTTTTTGGCAATCTTATGTGTATTGTAATTTTTTTAGGAGTTTTTAATGATATAATATGATTGAGTTATAAAGTTTAAATTTAGGGGGAAGGGTGGGAAAAGTATCGTCGTGGCGTGGTCAACGCGTTGATTAATTCTGGCCGAGTTCGAACCCTTTCGTTACGATAGTCGGCAAAAAAGATCATTACCGTATCTGTGGATCGTATTTATTGCACGGACGTGAAGTGATGGTCGGTGGAAGGACACGCTTTCCACCACGGAGGGGGGAAAAGTTATGGAAAAGTGTGTATAAGCGTTATTAAGGATTGTAGTAATTCGATGGGTACGGTAGGATATGGTTATAAGCACACGTGAACTCGAATCTTTGAAGTGGTAATTCGGCAAATTTTTCCTTAAAATGGAGAAGAAGCCATATCCATGGCCGAGTTTAATCAGCGGTGGAAAAGTATCGTCGAGATACGAGTCATCGTCATCGAACGGTCAATGATATAAATAATTATCCATTGAGATTGACAAGAAAGATGTTTTCCTTCATGCACCGATAGGAAAAAACCGAAATAGAAGGTGCAAACGATGTTAGATTATATTATTGTATTAACGTTATATATATATATTATACTATTAACGTTAGACGTTATAGTTACGTAATAATTTTTATCATTATCGATAGTAATTACGCGTTATAAGTCTCGAAAATTGTATAAAATTATCGCCTGTTTAATATATTAATTTTTTTCAAACAAAAAACTTTCAAAATTTATCTATTTATCGCTCTTTAAGTCACTTTGAATATCAGGAAAAAGTTTCGGTTACGCAAATAACTGTGAATACGCGTAAAATATAGTTATTTTCATGTTTCTCGTATAATTCACGACGAAACAGTTATCGCGTAACGCTTAAAAAAGTGTATACATACGAGAGAATGGCAGATGGCGTTGAAAGACGCGAGTGCGACTACCGACGCGTCTCAATGCGCATGCTTTTCGCCTCGTTCAGACGGATTTGCTCAGTAGCTTTCGAACCGTCGTAACGAGAAGGTCGAACAAAGAAGAGAAAGAGAAATCGTGGATGAGAACTGACCGATTGACGGAGAACCCACTCGATTCGGATGTTGTTGAATTTCAACGCCTCCTCGCAGCAAAATGTCCCCTGAGAGATGCGTAAATTAGAAAAGCGTGAAACATAGCCGCGTCCTCTTAAACGATCAATTTAAGTTAGAGACGCGATGGATTTTTTTGATTAAAAATGCGAGAGGATCGAAGTTCAGAAGCGGTGTTTGAAAACTCTTCTTTTTTCCATACTGAGAGGATTCGTTTTAGATCTCGAAACTTCTTTTGAACTGAACTTCGATCGAGTTTAAAAGATATTACCCGTATTATTCGCGAGAATATAATTTATTCGAATATTTTATATTTTATATTACGTACCCATTGTCGAGTTGTTTCAGTGATGGCGCGATCGCAAAATCTGCACACTCTGAGAGGATAGGATTTAGATCTTTTCTCGCTCCAGTCCCGAATAAAGTTGTTCACGAGATTCAGTGTCATCTTGATTTGCGCACTGTCGAACGATTCTGAGGAAACGACGCGATAAAAACATATCCGTACAAACATGATTAATCCCACATTTTATTCCGTTCGAAGAAAACTTTTCTTTCTTTTACTCAATTGATTGATATCAAAAAGATAAAGGAAAAAGATAAGGTTTTTAGTGAAAATCATCACTCGTTTCTCGGCATGATTACCTTCCAAAGTTTGGGAAGAGTTAACGAGCTTTTTCACCGTTTCCTTGAGGAGAAGAGATAAAGTTTGTATTTTCTCCGATACCCTGCACGGCGTCAATTTTTCCAAAATGTACAACACTTCCTTTATCCGGCATATAATGTTCTCGATGTCGTTAGGGTTTTGTAGACACAATAGAATCATGTTCATCTGCGATAACAAACAAGGGGAAGAGGGGGAAGAGTTTCTGGAAGAGTTTCTAGAAAATATTTTTTCGCTCACTTTGCGAACCACCTCGTCCGGCAAAATGTCAAAGTCTTGACATCGAACGCAAGGAGACATGTCTTGATAGAGATCCGATTGTTGGCATTTTTTTTTCAACACGCTCACGCAGATTATCGATGCCATCGAGGCGGTCACAACGTCCAAGGCTCCATGCAAAGGGATCGACTCGTAATTGATCGCGTGATACTTCTTCGAGTGAAGCCTTGGTTTTTTTTTTTTTGATAAACAAATACATTTATATCTTTCTTCGCAAGCGATTAGAAGGAATTAAAAATATTTTTTTTTGATCTATTCCAGGGACGAACTTGTAGAAATCCACGAAATTTTTCAATAAACGATGAGCCTTCGTGAAAATCTCCAATGCCAAGGTCAGCCATTCCGAATCTTCGCACAATTGCGATTTCCGATACAGGCAAGTCATCGTTGCGAACGATATTTCTTCCCCCCCTTCTCTTCTTTCTTTGGGTCTTTTCACTCGAGATGTCTATTCGAAAAAGGAATTGTCCAGCCTTATACTTGTCGAATTAACCGACGGATCGATGGGTTAATGGGTCCGTTGTCGAATCGATGGATACGAAATCGTTTTTTTTCCAACAAGCAACCGTTGGCCGTTCTAATAATTTTTTGCGTCACACGTCGAATCAACTAGCCACTAGAATCAATTCCGTTTATTTCTCTCGGCGCAACCGACAATCAATCGCCGCGGTAAATCATCGTCATCGTTCCTCTCAACGCTTTCATTGCACGATGTTTTTGACGCGTAACAAGTGACGTTCGTCGTGTCGCGCGAAATATGCAGCGCGTGGACGACACATCGATATTTCACGTCGGTCGACCGCCACGCTTCCAATCTCGTTTCTTTTATTTGGCGTGGCCGGCGCGAAATTTGAAACGACGCAAGATTAATTTATAAGAGTTTGAGAGAAGATTTTTTTTTATAAGAATGCTTCGAGGGCGTTTCTTTTAGAAATATTAATTATGGATGGCCCGTAAGTTTCATTGGCTAACGAATTTTTATTTTTTTAAAAATAAATTAATTGGATTCTACGTTTTGTGGATGCTCTATAAATTTCAGGAGCACGTTCATATATATATATATATAAGTTGGCCAACGAATTTTTATATTTTTAAAAATATAGAAATTGACTATTGTTTCTTCTTACGCCCATTACAATATGTTTTGTAAATTGACCGACGACTTTTTATTTTTTTAAAAATTTAAAAATTGATTATCTCTTTTTACGTCCAATAGTAAAATAATTGATTGGATTCTAGTTTTGTAGACGCCCTATTTTGTACAACTCAATGTTGGCCAACTAAATTTTTTTTTTTAAATTTTGTATCTTCAAAGTTGGCAAACTTACTTAAAATATATTTTGTAAATTGACCAACGAATTTTCACTTTTTTTTTAAAAAATATAGAAATTGACGACTGCGTCCAATGGTAAATTATTTTAATTAGTCGAAATATAAACTTTTTTTAAAAAAAGAAAAGGCAGAACGAGCTCGATTTCTCGTCCCTTCACGAGATTTTTCACGGAGGCGTGTAAACAATTCGCGCAATTTATATCTTTTTTAAAAATTATATCTCACGAACGATAATAGACGAAAATTGTTCAGCGGTCGTTCGAAATGCGAGGGGACGACGAATGGGAACGCTCAAAGGCTTGTTTAAGCTTACATTTCCACACGTGTGACACGTCATGTGGAACTTGCGGCGAGATGCTCGTCTTGTTTCGCCCTAAAATCCCGCAATAAAGAGTAAGGGGATGCACTTGGGGGGAGGAGGGGCTTAAAAGGGATTGCTCGTGATTAAAACAAAGATGTCTCCTTCATACAAATGCAAGACCCATAACGCATTCGCGTTAACGTGGTTAACGTGGCAAATGTGTTTTATTATATATTTCTTCCCTTTATTTCGTCCAATTTACGATACACAGAAGCGGCGCCTGGTTCAGATTATCGAAACGTAATATTTTATCGTTACATTTCGAGAGAGTTTTATATATAATTAAAATTTTTAATCGAATTATCTTTTCTTCTCTCGTTGCTTAATAACCTTTATTCACTTGTCTTTTTCGTTATCTACGCTGTCTACTTTTTAAAACGCACATCCTTGTCGCAATATTGAATACATCATTACCTTATATTAATTTTTTCAAATTTGAATATATGTTTGAATTACACATTTTTCTAAGATCGATCGATGTTAGACATCGGAAAATTGGAAATGTGGAAGAATTTTTAACGAATCTATGAAATTATATCTTTCTTATATGAAATTGAAAGAATCAGAGATTTATTTAAATTTATAATTTGACGAGTGATTATTAAAATTTTCACCATGGATAAATTATCATGTTTCGTTGTTTGATAGCACGTTCGATTTTCATTTATTTTTTCGATACTTTTTTCTTTCTTTTCTACCAAATTATCCAACCCCCCCCCCGATTTTAATTTTTTAACATACATTTTCACACTCATCAATCAGTACATGTACATACATACATACATTTTTAATATATTCGCTTTAAATTTCACTTAAATTCTATTCCTCGTATATTATATCTTTTATTTTACACGTTCAATGTTACACACGTTTATTCGAATAAATTAAAAAAAAAAAAAAAAAAAAAAAAACAGTCGAAGTTGTTCGAGTCGTTTCCGCGCAACGACGAGCGACCACCAATCCACGTGGTTGCTCGCGACGAGAAACAACGAATAACGAATCGCGCCGCTAAGTGGAAAACTCCGAGTGTTGTTCTTCCCCCTCCCTTGTTTCCTTCTTTTCTTTTTTTTTTTCCCTCGCCACTCACACTGATTACAAGGAAAAGCGGGAGGGAAACGGCGTATATATTCGTATTTATAAAAAGTTTTCCCGGATATAATTTATCCGCAGCTGGAACGGGACAAACCAGCGCCCATTTTCGTTTACCAACTCCGCTTAATACTCGTTCGAGCACGAAGGAGGAAAGGTGGGAGGTGGGTGGGAGAGGGGGGAGAAACTTGAAGTTCCGCGCCGAGCGAAAGAGGAAGGGAGAAGGAGGAGAAGGAGGAGTAGGAGGAATCGGTGTTTCGCGTAAACTTTCGCCAGCGATGAAAAAGATTGCGAAATGTGATGAACGATTTGTGGAGAAAAAATTCGAGAGGAAGGGGAGGAGGATTACGATTAATCGTCGTTGAGAATTTTTCTCTGTGCCATCGAGTAAGATTCCACACTTTGATGTCGTCCGTTTGAGTAGAGAGAAAACTTGGATGCGACGGACGAAAGGAAGAGAATTCCCTTTCACTCATTATTTCGATCGAAATAAGATCCATTCGAAAAGAAAATTTGAACACGAGAAGGAAAAATATTGATGCTTTACCCAAACTTTCGCGAATGGAAAGATTGTGAATATAATTGATTCGTGGAATCGAAAATTCGAGATTAATCATCGTTGAGAATTTTTTTTTTTCCGTTCCATTCAACGCTTTCGTCCATTCGAATAAAGAAAATTTTCGAATGAAAAGACGTAAGTAGATAGTATTTGCAGGATCAATTCGGTTAATCGTCGTGTAGAGAATTTTTTTCCGCTCCCGCTTTCGTCCCCTCATTCGAATGGAGAAAACGTGGCGAATGAAGAAAGAAAGAAAGAGAAAAAAAACTGTAAAAACCGTAATGCAATCATCTTTGAGAATTTCTTTCCCTTTCGAGTTCATCCTCGAAACTGCCCGCCATTTCAGTAAAACGAGAGAGAATCAAAAGAGAGAAAAAAAGAAAGAGCGTCCCGGACGAAATTCCAGATTCTCGATGATAATATCCTCCCCCCCTTCGCATTCGACTTTAAAAACCGACCGAGTGTGGAATATTTAAATTCCTCGCGGCGGAAATTGTTCCATCCCCCCTCGTGCATGCTGCCGCGTACACATCGCTTCGTTACCTCTCTCGCGATTATTGCAGGAGGGGAGGGGAAAGAGAAGCGCCTCGTATGACGCATACCGGCGAGCCGCTGCGCATCTACCTCCTCGACATATTAATATTTCGTATATCGCGATGTTATATTAATACGAGGGCCGTGTAGCGAGGCGCGGTCGTAAATCCTCCTCCTAACCTTCTCTCCTCCTCCCATTATGACCAGTCCCACTTTATATGAAAGAAGATGGAATTCGTATATATGGATGGTGAACAGCGGTCTTTGGAAGAAGACAGACACATGGCGATAAGCGAATACGCGAGAATACGTGTTTGTATATCTTGTACTCGTGATTGTTATTTATTTTGTTATTCAAGCGATTTGTACAGACAGATCGAGACCAATATAAGCTACATTTGTCGATCGAATGCGAGGTTAGAAGTAGTATTGGGTTATTGAAACGAATAGAAAGGTTTTATACGTGATCGTCGGTGCCGCCACTTTTTCTATTTCTTTCATTCGGTTTTGTCGCGTCGTTTCGAACGAATCAAGTACTCCAGTGGCGAAATCACATCTGTCCAACCTGAAGGTAAATTGGAACTAGATGTATTTAATTACGCCCATATGTCGTAGAACGGTTATTCCTATACGACTTCTTACTCTTCCGCCCCTCATTTCTTTTCTTTCAATCTCTCTCTCCAATCAACATTCCATTCTTCTCTCTAATTCCATTCTTTCGAGAACCAATTTCTGTATCCTCTTGAAATTTTTCTTCACTCTCTTACCTCGTCTCTTTCCTCCCCTCTTCGACCATTCGGACGAAAAACGATGTATTGTATTTCAATTCGAGATCAACACATCTCGTCCCTTCCTCTCTTCACTCAATCCTTATCCTAAACTTTCCAAATTCTCGTCCGTCCCCCGACCCTTCCCTCGACGAAGAAATTCGCTCAAACCCTGTATCGTATAAACTACTTGGGACGCGCTACGATGACGATGATCCCTTAATCGAAGTGGAGACAAGGGGAGATTGTCGACGATGCGAGTAACACGGGATAAATGCGCGGGAGGGGGGGAGGATCGGTCTCGAAAGGAAACAAGATGGCTCCGCTTTTAATAAGATCCACCACCACCAACACCATCACCACCCGCTGAACGGCCTCGAACTTTGGATCGACTTTGATTAGAGCATCCTGCTAATGACAGGGGATCGACCGCCGTTTAATCTAATATTCAAAACTGTCTGAGCCAACTCATCAGGAACGGGAATATTAGCCTATCAAGGGCGCAAACCGTGGCCGCGATTTCGCCGATCCTTCGAGCCACACACCCTTCTCGACGAAGGGATATCGATGTAAAATTATTAATCGCGATTACCGATTACATCTCGCGCGCGAATCGAACGAATTTTTCTTACGAACAAACCAATGGTATGCCTCTCGAAATATAATAATAACGGCACGGTTTGGAACGAAGTTGGCTGCATAAACGTAGCGACTGGCGCCACTCGCGTGAGAAAACGAAATTATTTTCCGAACAGTCGAATAATTTCTACTCTGGAATGAAGTTGGCTGGATAAACTAATTCGACTAACGTCACTCGCGTGAGAAAACGAAATTACTTTCCGAGCAGCCTAATAATTTTTACTATAGAATAGCGATTTAACCTTTATGCTACTACGCCTGTCTTTCAATAGATTTAATGATATAGACACGTTTTAAATGATAATAACTTTGTTACAAAAAGATGCTGAAAACTATAATTAACATAAGAAATAGGTTTTGCTACAACAATGCGAATACGCATATTTATTTTTATATTAAATTACTAATTAAACTATATCTAACGCATCAAAATGCGTTGTTGTTTTTCAAATCTTGGGAGCAACAGGGAATGTTTCACTCGTAATTCTTTTTCGACTATTAACGTAATAGT